CTTCTAGAGTTTGCTGTTTTCAACTTCACAGTCATGAAGTATTTATTTTCAGGCATCATCCAGAACTTTGGAGGCTGCTTTGCTTCACCTCTTAGCTAGGTTGACTTCCTGGCAGGACTGGAGAAAAATAGGAGTTTGGTTTCCCTCCACAAATGTATGAGAACCTCTGGAATGAGCCCAGGATGGGGAGATAGGAGCTTCTGAACTCAAATGCTTTGTCTGCTATTGATTTTTCTCAGTGGCCATGAATAAATCCATTAAATGTTGGTACGTTGGTTTCCTCAGACATAAATCAAACTGTCAGGATTTCCTACCTCCTAGTGATGCCGTGAATTCTGAATATTTGAGTCCTCCTTTGTAGAAAGAGCTCTGACAGGAACACATAGCAACAGCATTGCACATAAAAACTGAAGCTAAAACTACCATCTGGCTTTCCTGATCAAGCAGTATAGCTATACAGTATATGGAAAGATCCCCAGCCTTTACCTCTCCTGGGAACCTGAGACTCAGCAAGCTCTGGGGTTTCACCAGGGATGAGAAGAGCCAGGAACTTGGCTTAGGTACTTATTTGCAGTGCTTTTGTTTCTGTTCTTGCTATCAACCTGCAATAGGTACTGATGATTGTTTGGGGAATTTGAACAGATATAGGTTTGAGACTTGCAAAAATGGCTTTGCAGTGGGGTGGTTATGGTAACTGCTTAATATGCTAGGTGTGTCTGCTAGCAGTTGGTCAGAAAAGGGTAACATTTTACCACGTAAAGTCATGGGTATCTCCATTCTTTCAAGGAAAAGGTCTGTGTAAGTCAGTTTGAAGATTCTGGGTTTTGCTTCTATTCTGGTGATTTATATGAGTCTTGAATATGTCAAGGGTTTAAGTCTGAAAGTGGAATTTTTCACAGGTCTTGGATCTTTAAAAATCCCACCTGCTGCAGTGAATTTAGTTATGTGAAAAAGTTAGGAAGCAAATAATGGGCTTAGATTAATATTAACAAGTGAAATGGAATATTTGATTGTTTACATGTGCTAACCTGCTTTCCAATTCTGATTTTTGCAAATCTGTTTAGTATTAACTGAGTTAAAAATGAAATCATGCAACTGATGCATAAATCAATAGTTTTCAAACATATCCTACATTCTGTTTTAAGTAAATGTTATTTCATGCAGTTGCATTGTCACGCTTGAACAACTAGATCATCAATTCCAGTAAACACCACCTACTATATACAGGGTTTCACATCACAGAAAAATCAAGGTTTGATCTGTTGCTTCATGTAACATAAACCTGGATTCCTGTTGACTTTGAGTTGGGCCTTGAGTTCAGCTTTTCTGGGTTAGCAGTGTTGCTGTGCAGAAGCTCTTTGGTACACTACCACTGTTTAAGGAATATAGAAGCCCTAAATATCACAGTGCTATTTGTGGAACCTTCAAAAACGTACAGCACAAGGGTCATGAGCTAACAAATAACAAGTGTTTCACTGCTCTCTGGTCTTCCAGGCATCACCAGACTGTGCCTGAAAGCATGCAGAAATACTGTAAGACCTGCAGCCTACTCAGGGCTTTTTTCTCCTCATTCATTGTGGAGAAAACCTATATCCCTTTTCCCCCTCCATACCCTCTGGTAATTTTCATGTGCTTTTTGTTAGAGCTGTCATGTATGTCAGAGCATCCTAACAGTTTGGACAGTATGGAGAAGCCATGCTTGGTAAAAAACCTTTCATGTGGCCTGACACAGGCTACTGTGTAGTAGCTTGGAGAAATATGCAGTGAAGCTCTTCAGGGCACAGCTTAGGCTCTGACCGCTGAAGCCTTTCATGAGACTGGTAAACCAGTCATCCACATGGCCACTGGTAAACTGTTGAGGAATCAGTGATTTGGGGAACACAGTTTTAGAGAGAGTGTGTTGACCTTGGGAGTTATGCTTATGAGACGTGTGTTGAACAGGCATGACTTTGGATTGCCTGGTGAACCCCAGAGAGATTTTAGTGTGTGGTGATCTGCAAATTTGAATGTCTGTCCAAAGCAGCCACAGAAGGAAGAAAAAATCCCCATAACAACATACGAAACAGAAATAAATGACATTCTCCCATGAACAGGAAGGATACAAAGATGGATAAGGTGCAGAATCCCATCTGTAATAAGGGTCAGCAGCAGATGACTGTCGGGAACAGGCAGATGATGTAGTTGCATGCGGAGGTGGGTTGATGGCACCTTATATTCAAACCAGTGATACAAGTCAGAGTAATATATCTTTGAATTTGCTCTGCTCTATTTTGATGAGTATGCAGTAGTTGCCCTAAATTACTGTTTAGATTTCTAATATGCTCTTGGCCTTCTCCTTGTACTGAGTACATCAGTAAGATTTCATTTCAGTGACTGAGAAAGGGTAAATGAGCCTAGTAATATTTCTTGTACTGAGTGAACAATCAACCCATCATGCCCCCCTTCCCAAAGACGACAAATGTGTATTCAGTGCTTTGTACATCTACAGTTGTGGGGAAAAGGCTCATAATGATTGTGTTTGACTCCTGCCCTCACCGGCTATTTGATGGGAATTTCCCACAGGTACATAGAGCATGTGTCTAACTTGATTGTAACACTTTCTCTTCTGATGGATCAGGAGTGACTAGGCAGGGGAATTATCAAAGTGGGAAAGGGTTGTTAAGTGCTTGGCTCTGACTTCCAGAACTGCAATCAATAGCAGCCCTCTGTGCTTAGGCTGGTTTAACACTGACACAAACATTCTGCATTTCTTGCTGGTAGTTAAACGTATTCAGAATAGAATCACAGAACCAAATAATTTAGAAGGGACATCCAGAGACTGTAGTCCAACCATTAGCTCAGAGACAGTCCAGTTAGAGCAGGCGGCTCAGGACTGTGCCTAATCAAGTTTTTAATATTTCTAAAGATGGAGATTTCACAGTCTCTCTGGGCCCTTCCTAGTGTTTGACAATCCTCAAGATGAAACATTTCTCTGTATGGAATGAGAATTTCTTGTATTCATCTGTATCTGTTGCTTCTCATCCTTCTTCTGCAGACCTCTGAAAAGAGTTTGGCCCTGTCTTCTCTATGATCTCCCATTAAGTCATTGCAGAGAACACTAAGATTTCCCTTGAGTTGTCTCTCCTTGAAGGAGAACAAACACAGTTCTCTCAGGTTCTCCATACACCTCACCTACCTCAGTGCCTTGAGTGTGTTGGCAGCTCTTTGCTGGACTCGATCCAGTATGCTGAAGCCATTTTTATACGAGGGAACTCAGTACTGGACAGAGCAGTCCTAATGTGATCTCATAAGTGTCCACTGGGGGAAGAATCACTTTCCTCAGCCTGCTGGCTGATTCTTGTTAATACGGCCATGGATGCATCTGCCCTTTGCTGAAAGGGCAAGTGCCGCTGACTTGTGCTCAACTTGTGTGCTGGGACCCTCAGGTCTTCTTCTGAAAAGCTGCTTTTGAGCCACTTGGCTCCCAGCGTGTATTGCTGCATGGAGTATTTTGGCTCCTGTTTGCTTGCAGGAGTATATAGACATATGGTCTGCTTACTTAAGTACGAACACACATACTGCCGCAAAAGTCTCTGCTTAAAGCAGACCTATCACTTGACAATGGTATATGTACAAGGTGCAACACTGTACTGTTTTGTCACCATTGTTTTATGCTGTGAGGGCATAGATTTTACTATGTAGTTATTTTCCAAGAATGGCTGTGACAGCAAGTATTTTCCTTTCAGTCTTGTACTAATAAATTCTGTCTCATCTGTATTAGGATTACTAAATGAGACAAAATGAAACAAAAAAATACTATTAATGTCAACGGAAATAGGACTAGCCCTTGCCTTATGCAGTAACTTCTAAGCAATGATAGCTTGACTGCTTCTACTGTCTACTGCTCAGACTTGCTTTCACAGCTGGGAGTCAGGAAGGTGCTGCGTTACTGAGTGGGGGGACCCTTTTCCCCCAGATGGCACTGGTAGGAATGGGCTACAGACGACCCTCCTGCAAGCTTTCCTATCACTGTCTTACGCTTCTCCCACTGGATAAAACTGGGGTATGCAACTGGCTCAAGTCACATAAGTGCAATATGGCAGCAGAACTGGCTTTGAAGGACTGGAACACCAGGTACTGGGAAGCAGACTTCTAGTTCACACAAAGGATTTTTATGATATTCAAATGCTGCCTCCAGTTGCTAAGAAATTAGTGTACTGGCTTTCCTTACTGTACATAGGAGATTTTTTTTCCTAATGAGGAAATATTTTACGTCATGTGCCGTGAATAATCCCCCCGTGTTTATTTTTGCTGTATGAAGAAGATGTGCTTGTCTAGTACAGATTTCCTGGACAAGGTGATCAGACAGGCAGAGTTCTCAGATGTGTTTGCCAGCAACATTACTTACATCTGTGGACAAAATGTTTTATGTGGACTTCCCTCATACTGTTGGAGAAGGAATCTATAGGACACTTCATGTGGCTCTCTTGCCTGCTTGGTCTCTCATTCAGTTGAAAAAAAGGGCAGCTCCGTCAGGATTATTTTCTGATGTGTCTCTTAAACTGCCTGTCAGATGGGTTCAAATAAGTTCAGATGGCATTAGTGCTGAATCTAAAATGCTGATTTTTGGGAAATGGTGAAGGCTTTTTAAATGACACATATGTGGTGGTCATGTTGAGAATAGTAGAGCTTTCCATCATTCTCCCAAAAAGGATGTGAAGTGCCTTATTAGCAGTCTTTAAATGTTTTTCTTAGACTTCACTGCATACTGTTGAATGGTCCCTATGGTGACAGTGCTGCAGTGAAGCTGAAAACACAGCAGTGAAATTTGTCAGCACTGAGGACCCTGAAGTTAATTCTCTTGATAGTCATATTAGAAAAGGATCTGTACAGTCATTAGCATGCCATGATATATAACTGTATAGTAAACAGTGCTGTGGGATTGCGTAGAAATTTCATGACAACCTTAAATCTCTTCTTGGCTGACTGCTGAATAGGTTTTTTTTCCCCTTCCTTTCCAGCACGAGATGAGAATATGGCCACTTTCCGTGGTTCCGAATACCTTTGCTATGACCTGTCACAGAACCCCATCCAGAGCAGCAGCGATGAGATCACTCTCTCCTTCAAGACATGGCAACGCAACGGGCTCATTCTGCACACCGGCAAGTCAGCGGATTATGTCAACCTGGCCCTGAAAGACGGTGCGGTCTCGTTGGTCATTAACCTGGGGTCTGGGGCCTTTGAGGCCATTGTGGAGCCGGTCAATGGCAAGTTCAATGACAACGCGTGGCACGACGTTAAAGTGACACGCAACCTGCGGCAGGTAATGGTGAACGGGAGAAAATGCTGGGGAGAATTTTGTTTTGTTTCATTGGGACAGGCAGATGGGAGAGAGTGTTGGAGAAATGAGGAAGCTCAGTGGAATTGCTAAAGTTTCTCCACCTATTCTGGATCTTGGTACCTAGAGGACAGTGAAAAAACATTAGTTGACGGGAATTTATCCCTGCTGCAATATCTTCATTTCCACTTCATTAATTTTCTGTGTTTTTTTCAGTTTGATTTAATAATAAAAACTTGTGACATAACTTTACTTTCATCTCCCTTTTCCTTTTTTCTTTTTCTGTTCTCCCTTTTTTATTTTATTATTTCCTTAATTATGATTCAATCTTATCAGTAATATTCTTGTTGTATTTAATTACCGTGGGAACAGAGCCTTTTTCCAACAGTCAATGCTCTACACCTCTCTCCTTTTTCTTTCAGTTTTATTAATTGGTTTAACCATTGCCGTGATGTCACAATTCTAATTCTGGAAGTCTTTTGTTTTTCTTTTCCTTTTTCTTTTGTGTGTGCATGTGAGTGTGCAGGTGTGCAGACTGGTGGGTATGTGTGTAATTAATTTAACTTTATAGCTTTGGAATTAATTGGCTGGAGTCTCTCTTGAGTCTTCTTGATTCTCTGTTCTTCTTTTCTTCTTTTTGATTTTTTTCCTCTTTTTTCTATAATGAGATTTTACCTTATTTCTTGTGTCTCTGCCTATGAGACTCTTCTGTTGGCTGTGAGGACTGGAAAAGTGGAAGGATCAAAAAAAACCCAAGCAAACCCAGACCAATCCAGCATCCTACAATTCTACTTTGGAAAAGTTTTTCTGATTTTACCAGTGTAATTTTACACATCTACATGCTGCTTTTCCAAGCAGACAACTGTATCAGGTGACGTATTTGGTAGTAGGCTAGTCCTAAGATCCCAAAGCCTTTCTCATGAAATATAAATTCATACATAAATAGATAAGATAAAATTAAATAACCTTGCTCTGAAAGCCGGTAAATATATGAAGTCACTAAGGCCCATCCGCTGCATGATAAATGAGGTTTACACTCTGAATAGGAGCTATTTGGTGTCTTTCTCACTGGTAGAGGCAGCAAAAATAGCTTGTAAACTAAGATTTTAAAATCAATTTGTGAATAAAATATGACCTATTTATTTCCTCATTAATGTGAATATTAGCACAACCCTTAATGGCTTTATATAAGTTTATACAATGTAATTTGCTATGAAAACAGCTTTTGTGGTAACATTTTACGGTAGCTAAGATCAAATGTGTCTATAAGTATAGGATAATCAACGCCAGAGATCAGAAATAGTCTCTACTAGCAGATGTCAGTGGATAATTTATCTGTTATGGGGATTTCATATCTTTCTTTTCAATATTTGGGTTCGGGGCTGAAGATTTTTATTTGTCTTTCCCATGTAAATCCCTGTGTTTCTACATGCTTAGGATGTCTGAGTCTTTGACAAATAATCTGTCATCAAACTTCCATGAGACTCCAGGATTCTTTCCTATGGAAAAAATGAATCTGTTTTCCATACTTTATATGCAAATGCAAATTTAATTTTTTATGCATTGGATGGGTCTTAATGATCCTATTTTGTTCAAACTTTCTGATCAGTACAGTAGAGGGAGAGGCACCAACTGGTGTAGGTTTGTCAGTCTGGAAGGGTCAGAATATATAGCTTTATTTGATTTGGGTTTTTTATTTTTATTTTTAGCTAGTTTCAGAACAGCTCATCTCTGAATATCTCAGTAGAGCTTACCGGCCATTTTAGTTAATCTTACTTTTTATTTTTTGTTGGAAGTCAGTTTCAATGGGAAAATGAGCCAGAAGCAAGATGAATCCTTGCTTCATGCCAGCATTGGTTTGGATCTTGAAGAAGCAAAAAGTGAAGGGCCACAGACAAAACTGTGGATGGGAAGCTGTAACATTCTTTTCTTAATCTTTTAGTTAGTGATTTTTTAATTGGTCCATGGAAATGGACCAAGACAATGGAAATATGTCTATGCCTTTTCATCTTTGATTAGACCAAGGCAGTACTTTGGCAATTACTAGAAAGCAGGTGAGTCCCTTGCCAATTCAGCAGCATCTCAAACCTTTAATCCTCCTGATCTGTTCACTATGGATCTTTTTAAGTGATCCTGAATTCTTTAGGGGTCCAACTTGACTGGGCAAGAATGAGATGTTTCAATGACATGGCTGTGCTCTTTCCAAAGAAAAGGCAGTCTTAAATCAAATTAAAAATAATTAGCAGAGGTGATTTGGGTTTCAATTCTATAGATAAACATGACAGAATACAGTTCAACCAAAAAATATCAATAAGGCTGGACTTTTGTTTTTTTCAGTCTTCTTTTCACTGGATACTTCCATTTTAACTCCTGATCTGTCTCAAAATTCAGACATTGACCCAGAACCTAAAACTACCCAGAAACTGGAATTCATGAAGCCTTGAGGCAAAGCAGTCCTGACAGTCCTGAACAGTATCATCCAATATAATTTTGCATAACCTAAATAATTTTGTATGTAAAAGATTAACTACCCTGTGTCTTTCCTATAAATTCACCTGTAATGTTGCAGCATAACAGAGGTCACTTGGAAGTCTTGTTTTCCAGCTGTGCTCATGTTTCCTCAAAAACACCCACTTCAAAACCAAACTAAAAACTGCAACAAAATACATTGCCTCTGAATGCTAAGGCTTTATAAGAAGATCAGTAGCCTCCTTGTAATTGGTTGAAAATATTGCACTGGAGATAAATATATTTCTCTTTAAAATGAAATTTAAAAACAATAGTTTAGAAATTCCAAGAATATGTTCTAAAGCTAAAGCAATTCCAGCTAAATGGACTGTCAGCAGCTTCAGAATGCCATCTAGTCTTTTCCTCTGCTTTTTTGGGGCTGAGAGAGGGGGGAGGAGGATTTGCATAATTTTTTGACTGTTTCTAGAATTAGAGTAGAACTTTAAATAGTTGGACTTCTGCCCAGTATTTTTTGGAATTGTTAAATGTTTTGTAGCTAAGCTAGGAGAGTACTAAGTGCTGCTTTTTTTTAGATCAAATGACTATCGCAGTGGTTAATCTCCTTAGAGACAAACCAAGTGAATCCACAGATTCCCTTGAGTACTGATTGTTAATGTCAAAGCAAATCTCCTTGTTTATTTATCTTATTATTTCAGTTAAAACTAAGCCCTCTTTCTGCCTTGTGAGAAACCTTTACTTAGAAATAGGATCATGGCTATATTTTACCAGGGCTTTCAGAGCATGTTTGGGGCAGTGTGGTCTGGTGGGAGGAGGAGGAGGAGCAGAGGAGACTGAAGGTCAGACTTCCCATGTCTGTATTCAGGTCTGCTGCTGACACTCCATCTCATTTTTAGCATGCTCTGCCCCCCATCCCATACTCCAACTCCCTTGTTTATAAAATGGATTTATTAATACAATATTTCGCCGTGAGTGAGACTTCCTTGATTAAGAATTGAGGATTTTGTGCTCATTATACCCAAGTACAGAGTATTATTATGATTTCATTACCAAAGGCAAATAACCTTGGGACTTGATGCTCAATGCTGCAAAGTCTTCACAAACTTACTTCCTTAGTCAATGCACAACTCTGAGGTTTGCAGGCAGATAGCTTTTACATGAGGCAGCATAGAACCTGCCTGTGTAATTTAGGATAGTTCGTGCCAGCTTAAGCCACAACAGAACAAGGACTTGGACCCTCCAGGCCTGCCCTTCCCTATCAACACTGAAACTAGTCTCAATGCAAAATCTGCTATAAAGATCTTGAGTTCCTCGGCTGCTAAAAAGCAAACAAGAAACAATGTGTAGGTTCAAACAGTTGGTATCTGCGTGCCTTGGGAGGGGTTAACAAAGCATCTGCAAAGTTCTGTTGAAACCAACTGACTGGTAAATTCTCCTAGCTCCTTCCTAATATGGATGCAGTATAATAGGAGAATCTTGTCAATCTTCTATGTTCAACCTTGACACAAGTGACACAATTCTTTCTACACAATTCCTCGACACATTTCTTCCTACGGTAGGAGAGGTTCGATTCCTGTACTCTTGGATGACAGAAGTGAGCTACAGGCACACAGTCAAGCACAGGCTTTGTTGTGTGCTCCTCCCGAAAGTTACAAACTCCTCTGCCATAAAGCTGCAGATTGGGAAACTTGGAAGGAAGACTCAAAGTCTTGGACTCTTCATCTGTAATACTCCAGCCAAAGGAAATACTGGCCTGCTTGTGATGCTCTGCAACACTTGAGGGTAGTGAGGCTTGGAAGAGGAGCAGGCACGTAGGTGGGTGGTTGTGGGTGAAAGAATGGAGTCATGGTTGGGTTTGTGCTGAAGGGGCAAATTGTGTACTGTGTGTGTACATCTTTGAGAGTAAGGTTCTTGTTTGAGGGAAGCACCTTGATGGGCATTTGAAGAGTAAGTATTGCACTGTTTTAACTTCGGTTCAGATCTGGAAAATGTGTATGAGGGTTGAAGTTAATAATTAAGACCAGGGTGGGAAGAGTAGGCAGCCCCCTCTTTCTTTACAGTCTAGATGGCATGGTTCCCCATAGAGTCCTGGTCATATTGTCCTCTTTCTCACTTTGTGTGTCTCAGGTGCCCCACGCCTTTTTTTGAAAAACTAACACTAGACCATTCATGCAATGTGTCATTTTTACTAACCAACTAATGTACTAACACCCTAACGACTCATCTTTGCTTTTAGTTATTTTAATTAACAATCGTTCTGTTCACAATTTTTTAATTTCCTTTCTTCCCCCTTTTCCGCAAAGCACTCAGGCATTGGACACGCTATGGTAAACAAACTACATTGTCTGGTAGATATCATTCTTATTGTCTCTTTTTTTGGGTTTGCCGTGTGTTACCTGCCTTTTCCTCCCCCTACCCCCTCTTTTTCTCCCCCCTCCTTTATACTTACTGCTTCCTTTAATTTTATTTTAATTTCATTTAAAACACTTTTTTCCCCCTCCTTTTTTTTTTCTCTTCTTCTTTCTTCTTTTTGAATAGAAAAATGAGCATCAAAAGCAACTAACACAACTCTTCTGGAAATGGGCTTTGGACATTTCTTTCATTGTTTTCTTCACCTATGTCTTTAGTTGTTTTTTTTCCTTTCCAGTGATAAATTGTTGGGATTTTTGTCCCTTGCTTTTGAGTTTAGCTTTCTCTCTTTTGCTTTTGTTTTAATTTTGCTTTTTTTCCTCTGCTTTTGGTTAATGTTTTTTTTTAACTCTGAAGGTTTCTAGATCAGAACCATTGCAGGGCCTCTAGTCCATGGTGGTGAAGGCTCTCTTTTTCTCTCACTCTTTTGTTGTGGCAATGGCTATTACAGGCAAACTGGCCAGAGTTGTCCTCTTTCTCCTGATTTTCCCCCACTTCCCTCCCTCTGCTTTCTCTCCTCCTCCTCCCTCTTGCTCTCTCTGTCTCACTTTCTCTCTCTCTTTCTGACCTCTACCTGCGTGGCCAACAGGAGCTCAGCCGATTGTTTGTTTCAGTACACACTCTGCATGGCATGTCCACGTCTGGTGACTCACCTGTCTCCTCCTGGCCTCGATCTATTTTCCTCCATCTTCCCTTGAAACCACTAACAGCATCTAAGCAAAACACATCAAATTCACTTGCTCCTCTCCCTCCCCCTCCTTCTGTCACCCTTCACCATCCATGTGTTTGTGGTTAGAGATTTTGGGGATATTTCTGTTTGGGTTTGAGTTTTTTTGATTATTATGCAGTTTGTTTGGTATTTTTATTTTTGATTGCATGCAAGTGTGAAATGGTTTTCTCTCCCTCTCCTGCCTCCCTCACTTTTCACTTTTTTCCCCATCATCTTTCTGGGCCTCAGATATATTGGCATGATATGTCAAAGTGCAGTGTGTGCACGCTTTTTCTTCTTTCTTTTTCTTTCTCATCTCTGCTTCTATCACACTTGTTGGTGTGTGTTTGATTTATTCTGATTTACTTCATTTTATTTTCTGATTATATTTTGGTTATGAGTTAGTTTTTAATTTTTTTCTCCTTTTTTTTTTTTTTTTTTGTGGTGGGTGGTGGGTGTGTGTCTCTCTAGGTACATGGCATGCACATCCATAATGTATTGAAAGTGAGATCCCTTTCCCCCCATCCCTGAATGCATGATCGTCAGTGTGCCGTGAGCAAAAGAAGCATAAAAAATAAAAAATACCAACCTTGTCTTCATTAGTGGTTTGTTTTGGTTTTTTTTTTTTTCTTACTAACAACCATAACTAACTGTAATCATTAAAATAAATTCTAATCAATCATAAAATCAGCTAATATGAGAAATCTCTTTCAAGGACAGTTCCATTTTCTGGCCTGAATAGATGGAAGGCATCTGGATGGGCAGGCTGGTGGGTAAGCCTGAGAGTGCTGATGCACCAGAAAACAGAGAAGCAGATGCTGAAACATTTCTGGTGTGGGAAAATCAGACCAGAAAATAGAGCTTCACTGAACTAAAAAAATACATACCAAATCTCAACAAAATCCTTAATAAAACCAACATAAAATTATAGGGGAGGTAAGTTGTTCTGTTCAGGATTGTAAGGTCATTGCTGGGATTTTCTTTGTCCGTTGTGTCCCTCAAACAGGTGACAATCTCTGTGGATGGCATCCTTACCACCACGGGCTACACGCAGGAGGACTACACCATGCTGGGCTCAGATGATTTCTTTTATGTGGGAGGGAGCCCCAGTACTGCTGATTTACCTGGCTCTCCAGTAAGCAACAACTTCATGGGCTGCCTCAAAGAGGTAACTATTTCAAATTAATTCTTATTTCTGTGCTTTGGGTTTCTCAAAGTCATCGCTCTTTCCTGCCTTACACACTCAATGTCTTTCCCTGATGCTGAATTTTATACTGATCTTGCAACAGCTCTGTAAGGATAAACTTGTCATTTGGCTGGACAGAAGGCTGGAAAACTCATGATCTTAAGGGCAGAATCAGACTTCTAGTGTTTGGATTACAGAGAGAATAACCCTGGTAGTGGGAGAGGTGTCTTCTGTAAGCTGTTAGTAATGTTTTCTTCTAAATGGCTATCTTCTAGGCACTGAGGCAATAGCCATTATAAAAAGATAAATGGCCTTTGTGAGGTATGTGGACTTGAAGTCCATGTGTTATGATCCAATTATTGAGAGATGCCTCTGCCCAAATTAAGGTGCAAACAAGACCATATGCTGAAGTCAGTAGTACAGATTGTACTTAACAATAAAATGTGAGATAGAGAGATAGAAATAGAAAACAGAGAGAAGAGAGAGAGAGATTAAGCCACCACCAGTGGATCCAGTGGTGGATCTGTTGGTTCTTCTTCACCTTGGGCTTCTTGGTGGTGGTGGGTTCTGAGGTCATTCAAAACTTCTCACATTTATACGTTTTTGAAAACAAACGAATTAATGCTCTTTGGTGTTGCAGCCTGCCCCGCAAGGCAGTAGTAACTTTTGGTTTTTTGCTAATAAATCCCTTGAGGTGAATAAAAGTAAATCAGTAGTAGATTACCTGTGTTTACAGATATGGATATATATGGTTTATTTTAGAACAGTTTGGTTGCAAAGGAAAACAGGTATGTAGCTTTTTTCATTATTATTGTCTACAGTAATATGGCAATGTAAAAACATAAAGATATCGCCCAGGAAAATGTGTAACAGAAAAGAGAGAAAGAATAAAAAGTTTATAGTCACCACCCGGAGTTCTCTGACAGACTTTGTTGTTGTTGCTGTCATTGCTGTTGTCACTGGTGTCTTGATCCATCGGGGAGTGGTGAGGGAAAGAAGTCCATGAAACATAACCAATGGCTTTATGTACCCTCAGAAACCCTGCTGGTGCTTCCTCTGTGTGTGTGGGGGGGTGCTGTTTTTGCACAGTCATGCTGTTTTTCAGAGGCTGGAGGTGATGGTTTTTGTAGAGTCATTTAGGCTTGGGGTGGGGGGGTGTTGCTTCAGAGACACCCCTGCTAAGAGGCCTTCTCTGGGGTAGTGATGGGTGTGTGCACAGAGGGCCTAGCCTGACTCATAGGAGATAAGTATCACACACTGAGAGTCACCACTGGCCTTCTTTAGACAAGCATCACACCCCCAGAGACTCACCCTTAGGGCCTCTGCAAACCTAACAGTTCGTGGGTTACGGCCTCCCTCCCTCTGCTTTATCTTCAGTCCCTTGGCAAGAGGCTTCCACAGCTCGCTGCAGTAGCAATGTTTTAAGGCAATGAAGAAAGTTCAATTCCTCAAAATTGGCTCCACAGTTCTCTTATTGGTTAAATGATTCTCTAACTTCTTATGCTAATTAGTCCCATGGTCAACTCAGTCTTTCTGTTTGAGTTGGTGGGTTGTGAGTCAGTGGGTGCGATCTCTCCCTGACGGAATTACCTTTTACCCAGTCTGAGCTGATTTCAGCACAGTTGCTGAGTTGACTTTCCTTGTGGCCCATAAATTCTGCATTCTTTGTGTCCTTTATCAGTGATATATTCTTCTCCCCCAGCTTTGTTAACCTCCCCCTAGGCCTGAGGTAACACCTGGATGATAGTATCACCCTTAAGTTCCCCTCACTTGTGGCTTAAGTTATAGTCCAAGTTCTAGCTATCCATGGAGGCGTATTTGGGGGTGGGGGGCTTCAGTGGTCACAGATGCCATCTGTTCTGTAACTTGGTATGATCTTTGTTTGGCTGGTGATATGTGTATGAGCAGTTGCTTCTTTATACAGTTTGCCACAGAGGGAATTTTTGTCTGGATGGGCTAGCCAGATCTAGGGTGGGCTACCCAGATCTTACCTCCACCAGGAGTTAGTGCCATCCTGTTGCTCCATTGTGTCCTTATCTCATGGCAAAGTCATTCTGTGGCCTTAACAGTGTCTGGGACAGGCAACTGTGATCTTAGAATCCCTACACTGTGTTGGGATATTTGTGCAGTTGAGTGGCTGCACTGGTCAGGAAGAGCTAACTGGCTCTGAAAACCATATTATATTACTCAAGCTGGGTGCACTTCTCATATAGTTAATCCACAACTTTGAGAAAATTCACACTTGGGTAATTGAGATTGGACTACCTGGCTAGCAGCAGGAATCAGAATATTATTCCTTAGAAAAAAGAAAAGAGAGTTAAAAAAAATGAAGTCTCAGTCCAAATCCCAAACTTGGTACAGTTTCATTTGGGTGTTGGCCTTGAAGTCATCTTTTGTCTTGTGTCTCTCTTCTAATATGATTTGTGATTATCGCTGTGATCAACCGGGGATGCAGATATTGATGTCTCCAAAATGTGTTATAGAAAGCTTACTGAAAAACAGTCGTAGGTTTTCTGTGAGCCAGCTTCCTAGCTAGCCTGGAATAAGAGTTTCTTCCAAGAGTTTTCTCCTTAAGGTTGTGATTCTGTACGAATACTGTTTTTCACAGGGTGTGGCTAGGTCGATCTGATTTTATTTGCAGCCCAGCGGGTTGTTGCAATATCATGTTTGGATGAACACTTAATATCAGAGGAAAGGTGGAGGTTTCATACAGGAGTCGTGGAAGCAACAATGCCGAGGTAGATGTTCTGTGGCTGTAACTGACTTGACAAGTTACCATCCTACTGATGTTCCACTTGTGGTGTCAGGGGTTCTCTGTTATGTGCCAGTCCTCTGATGTGAGTAATGGTTGTCAGAGTCTGAAGCTCTGTCCTGCCTGACCTCTGGACTGGTTAAAGAGATGCACATATGCCAAAAAAGAGCATGTGAGCATCTTAAATAGGAAATTAAACTGCCCTGCTTGAATACAAACTGCCATATAGATCCTTCTGGTTTCATCTGTGGAGCCTTGGGCCTGATTTTCCTAGACACTGAGCATCTCAGTTTGATTGAAATCAGGAGGAGATACAGCTTCTTAGTGTCTCTTTAAATCAGGATCTCAATTTTATTTATGGATGCTATGAACAAAACACTTAGCAGAGGCTGTTTTTATGTGTGCTCTAAGTCAAGCCAATGGAGCAGAGAAAGCAGTGACAAGAAAATCTTCAGCAGCTTTATTATTTATATAATCATTTGTATTCTATTAGCTTGCACAATGTGCTAAGAGCTGCTTACATAGCCGTCCAATGCTCATAATGCTCTGTGAGAAGAAAAATCCAAGCATCCACTTAAGAATGAGAGGAAGTAAACAGATAATCAGAATGTGCTTTGTAATCTTCACTTGACTAGGCAGTGACAGGAGATGTGTATGAGCAGATGTCTTGACTTAAAGACAGGCTGGTGCTGTCTGGTTTAGAGCTACAGTCTGCTTAAAAGCAACCTACTTATAGTCGTGGTCCAGTAATGCTTTCAGCTCTTGTGAAAATGTGTCCAAAATGTATCTTGCCCAGTCCCTTATGACAAATCCAGTATACACTATTTACTAAATATAACTGTAGTGCAGGGTTTTCAGGAGAGGCACGTGGAAATGGGATGGAGAAATGAAATATTTCAAAAGGGAAGCCATGTTACTTAATTAGGACTCTGTGCTTCCTTTCTGCCATTCCTTCACACCCCTTAGGCCACAGGGTGAGTTACTGCGGGTATCACTAGGAAGTGCAAGGAAGCTGACTGTTGTGCTTTTCCTCAGTTCTGGTTTTTGCAAGTGGGGGGGAATGGGGAGCTGCACTTGATGGGGAAAGAGCATCCCTAGATGACTGTCAGAATCCTGACAAAGTCCAGAAGTGCTGCTATAACACCAGCATCTGTGCAGAGCAGAATCTGACCAGCATAAATAGCCTGCATAGGCTGAGAAGAGCTCTTGCTGTATAAGTAGTGAATTACTCTTTGACATCAAAGCAGTCAGTGCTTTCATCAAGTGCACCTTTGGATTAGTTGAGCAGAAAATAGTTTGCCTTGCAAAAGTCCTCCTAGGGTTTGTTTCCTTTTGTTTCCTTTGCTGGAGATGAAAACACTGGTGGCAAAGGTAGAAGGACCAACCTGGGATCCACTTGGAATTATGGGATAGATTTTTTTGAGTGTTTTCTTTATGTTTACTTCTGAAATACCAGGGTGCATCTGTACAATGCAATGCAGCACAGCATGGTATGAAAGAAACCTGAAGTGACTCAAGAAAGGTAGAATACCTTTGGGGATCAGACTGACCCCCTGGGGCAGCCAGCTTTGATCCTTGAAGAGGCAGAACTGGGTTAGTGCAGTGCTTGTGTGCTTATAACATTTTTGAGTACAGAACCGGCTACAGGGAACTTTACTTGGCTTTCTGCCAAGCATAGTAGTGTATTTAATAAATCAGTCCCTAAAGCTTATGTTTCTGAACTTTTTCTTTGTGGCCAAAAAGGATGCCTAGTCTCTCATCAGGCAGTATGGGAGGAGCTTGCATTTTTAAGAAAAATATTCTAAGCTAAGAAAGTTAGATGAAGGGGTAGGATAGACTAATAGCATATATTGTTCCTTTCAGTTTATGCTTTCAAGTAGAGCACCATGCTCTTTTTTCCTACCAAGGTCCTGCTATGTAATTGCCTGTTCCCAGAGACGTAGCACACCCTGAGTGGATTGCACTGTTGTTTGTAATGGTGAAGAACATCCTGCCAAGCTCTGTACTGATCTCTTGGAGGTGTTAAAGCGGAATGGTCTATTCCTGCTCCTCTGCATTTGTTGAAGACTGTCTCTAGGGATGTGTCACTTTCCTAGGAAGGAAAGGGGTTTATGCAGACTTTGGGGTGTAACTTTCAGCATTTACCCTGTAATGTCTTGTATTTCATCTGAACTGCCTCAGCCTCAGAGTACACCAACAAAATTGCTCACAGGGGGGCTAAGGAGGCTCT